GAAAAGAAAAGAAAAGAAAAAGAAAGTGGTGTTGCCAGTATGAGAAAGGAGACTTTGGTCCATATTCATGGAGTAAAAATGGATGGATAGATGGAAGGAAGGTAAATTAAATAAACTACTAAATAAAAAGAGCTAATAATAAAAGGTGGGTTTAATGACAAGTAAATGGACAATAAAGAAGCCAGATGTTTAGGTGGCTATTGCCAAATTTGTGGAGAAATGGAGAAATGAGAAATAGTTTTTCTAGTGATGCCCTCCAGATATCAGAAACAATTCACAAATTCCCAAACATTAGATTTTGGATCATACTGCCTGATTAACAGGATAGGTGCTGGGTTGGAGAAGGCTGACAGCAGGATATAATTAGATCTGAAGCAAATGGAGAACTTCAGTTTTTTAACATTTGCATATTGCTTTTTCTATCTCATTTTCTCTCAAAAAACCTGCTTGTTTTCACAACTGGTTTTATGAGATAGCTAAAGCTGAGAGACAGTGACTGGCTCAAAGAATTTTCCCAGTCATGCTGAAATTTGAATATGAATAGTCCCACTCTAACCTATTTTAGATTTTAATTCTCCTCAGACCCAATTAACATAGCCAGTGACAAAGGATTATGACAAACATTAAGCCCAGAACTTCAAGGGGTGTGTAGGTTATATTAATTTAATATTGATTTTAAAAACCACTATTAAATAAGAGGTTTACATAAATATGTTAATGAATATTTTAGTGGATGAAAAATGTAGATTTAAATATTTGGTTTTAATAATTTAATAATACTTATTTTATTTGCTTCCGCATTTCTGAAGAATCTGCGTAGTGTATAATCACATAATCAGCAGGAAAAGTGATGGACACCAAGATGGTTAAAAGAGAATGATAGTTTGAGGAATATTTCAAGTATCTCATTATTCTACTGGAGAGACAGACCAATAGAATGAAGAAAAAGGGGATGTTGACTGAAAATATAGCTTAGTCATAAAATCAGCCACATGTGATAGATGCGGAGCAAAAATGAGCTTGAATAGTGATAGAAACCATATGACAGTGTTTTGGCAGCTTAGCGTGAGATGGATGAATGCTACCATTTTTTATGTAATGCCAATAGTATTTTATAAAGAACTAGCCAATAACCCGGTGTTGCCCGGATATTTATTTATAGGGGGGAAATGTCTGGACCAAATGTAATTTCTAATGTTGGATTTTCCTCCTTACCAGAGGAAGTTCCCTTGTGGAGTACTGTGAAATCATTACCATAGTAAAACTCCACTGCGCTGCACAGTAGAAGCCATTTTACGGCAACACATTAGAAACTATTTTTAGGCACAATAGGCTGTATCTTAACAGAACACAAACACAGAGGGGTGTTAGGAGTGTCTTACTCCCACAGTATTTTTTTCCAAAGAGTAAGTCACCTGTATAACAAATTTGGTTGAAATTCCTGGAGGCGTTGCAGAGTTATGCTGGAACATACACAAACACAACCATGTGTGTGTATGTATGTATGTATATATATATGTGTGTGTATGTATGCATGTGTGTGTATTATAATATATACATACGCTGGTCTTGTTGTATTCAGGTCTTTTCCCGTCTAAGATTGAGATTGTCTTGGCATCCTCAGGCTGGTGTTTTTGGCCAAAAACACCAGCCTGAGGATGACTAGTGAGACCTCACCGAAACATTGCCAAGACAATCTCAATCTTACATGGGAAAAGACCCGAATACCACAAGACCAGCATACCTACACCCATGATATATATACATACACACACACACACACACACACACACACACACACACAC